AGCTTGTATTCCCACCAACAGTGTAGGAGGGTTCCCCCTTTCTCCGCATCTGCACCAACATTTGCTGTTTCCTGACTTGTTAATTTTAGCCATTCTGACCTGTGTGAGGTGGTATCTCATTGAGGTTTTGATTTGGATTTCCCTGATGCTGAGGGTTGTTGAGCACTTTTTCATGTGTCTGTTGGCCATTTGGATGTCTTCTTTGCAGAAATGTCTGTTCATGTCTTCTGCCCATTTCTTGATTGGATCATTTGTTCTTTGGATGTTGAGTTTGATAAGTTCTTTATAGATTTTGGATACTAGCCCTTTATCTGATATGTCATTTGTAAATATCTTCTCCAGTTCTGTCGGTTGTCTTTTGGTTTTGTTCTTTTGGTTTTGTTGACCAAAGCTTTTTGCTGTGCAAAAGCTTTTTATCTTGATGAAGTCCCAATAGTTCATTTTTGCCCTTGCTTCCCTTGCCTTTGGCGATGTGTCTAGGAAGAAGTTGCTGTGGCTGAGGTTGAAGAGGTTGCTGCCCGTGTTCTCCTCTAGGATTTTGATGGACTCTTGTCTCACATTTAGGTCTTTCAACCATTTTGAGTCTCTTTTTGTGTGTGGTATAAGGAAATGGTCCAGTTTTATTCTTCTACATGTGGCTGTCCAATTTTCCCAACACCATTTGTTGAAGAGACTGTCCTTTTTCCATTGGACATTCTTTCCTGCTTTGTCGAAGATTAGTTGACCATAGAGTTGAGGGTCCATTTCTGGGCTCTTTATTCTGTTCCATTGATCTGTGTGTCTGTTTTTGTGCCAGCACCGTACTGTCTTGATGATGACAGCTTTGTAATAGAGCTTAAGTCTGGAATTGTGATGCCACCAGCTTTGCTTTTCTTATTCAACATTCCTCTGGTTATTCGGGGCCTTTTCTGGTTCCATACAAATTTTAGGATTATTTGTTCCATTTCTTTTTTTTTTTTTTTTTAGGATTTTATTTATTGGACAGAGAGAGACACAGTGAGAGAGGGAACACAAGCAGAGGGAGAGGGAGAAGCAGGCTTCCTGCTGAGCAGGGAGCCTGATGTGGGGCTCGATCCCAGGACCCTGAGATCATGACCTGAGCCGAAGGCAGACACTTAATGACTGAGCCACCCAGGCGCCCCTATTTGTTCCATTTCTTTGAAAAAAATTGATGGTATTTTGGTAGGGATTGCATTAAATGTGTAGATTGCTCTAGGTAGCATTGACATTTTCACAATATTTGTTCTTCCAATCCATGAGCATGGAACGTTTTTCCATTTCTTTGTGTCTTCCTCAATTTCTTTCATGAGTATTCTGTAGTTTTCTGAGTACAGATTCTTTGCCTCTTTGGTTAGATTTATTCCTAGGTATCTTATGGTTTTGGGCGCAGTTGTAAATGGGATCAACTCCTTAATTTCTCTTTCTTCTGTCTTGCTGTTGGTGTATAGAAATGCAACTGATTTTTGTGCATTGATTTTATATCCTGCAACTTTACTGAATTCCTGTATGAGTTCTAGCAGTTTTGGGGTGGAGACTTTTGGGTTTTCCACATAAAGAATCATATCATCTGCAGAGAGTAAGAGTTTGACTTCTTCTTTGCCAATTCAGATGCCTTTTATTTCTTTTTGTTGTCTGATTGCTGTGGCTAGGACTTCTAGGACTATGTTGAATAGCAGTGGTGATAGTGGACATCCCTGCTATGTTCCTGACCTTAGGGGGAAAGCTCTCAGTTTTTCCCCATTGAGAATAATATTCACTGTGGGTTTTTCATAGATGGCCTTTATGATATTGAGGTAAGTACATCATTAGTTTTTGATGTAGTGTTCAACGGTTCATTAGTTGCGTATAACAACTGGTGCTCATCACAACACATTTCCTCCTTAATACCCATCACCCAGTTACCCCATCCCCCACCCTCCTCCCCTCTGTAAATATTTTTAGAAAGGCTGACTTTAACTTTCCAGAAAATCAGATAAGCAGCCTTCAAATGGATTAGAGACCAGGATGGACCCAGCTGGAGACTGGAATAAATGACCAGATGGAAGGGTGATACCAGAAAGCCCCACTTCCTAAAACATTTATTTACCTGACTCATTGCCATGACATTCCTGTTTTCTGCTTTGTTTGGAATTCTCGTGCTTGGAATTACACCTTTGTGAACATAAGAAACAGAGTGTATGGGGTTCTAAAGTAAGCATCTCATCTTGGAGAAGAGTAGAGCGTATACAGTAGATCTGGCCTTCTGCCTGTATTGCTTCATGCACTTGAATATCAGATTAACTGTCTATTATCTTGAGAAGACCAGAGTTGTGAGGATTGGATGAAGAACAGATAGGTAAAATTTAGAATACAGGATAGTCTTGGGGAGGGCAGGATTGAATTCAACATGGAACAGGCTTGAGGCAACTTGAAGGTAAGAATAAGATCAGGGGAAGATGCAAGAGAAAAAGAAGGACTGGATCTGCAGATGAACATGCCTATTTGAATGGTAGAGATGGGCTACTAGGGATCAGCTACTTCCAATTGCTTACCAAATAATCCCATTGGGTAGTCCTTAAATTCCTCACTCATCACTTAATAGTGTGCTAGACATCCTCATACATAAATCTTTGTGTACGTCTTTGGTAATTTCTTTAGGACAAATTTCTAGATGGAGAACTAAAAGTTAAGACTTTTGATATACTTTGTCAAAGTTTTCCTTAGAAAGGTCATAAGAATTGAAAGTCCACCGTTAGTGTATGAATCCTGGAGTCCTTGGGCAAGTCCCCACAGGACAGTTATACCTGTACATAGCAAGGATAAGAGGGATTCTGGCACCTCTTTTTTTTTTTGAAAGATTTTATTTATTTGAGGGCGCCTGGGTGGCTCAGTTGGTTAAGCGACTGCCTTCGGCTCAGGTCATGATCCTGGAGTCCTGGGATCGAGTCCCGCATCGGGCTCCCTGCTCGGCAGGGAGTCTGCTTCTCCCTCTGACCCTCCTCCCTCTCATGCTCTCTGTCTCAAATAAATAGATAAATAAAATCTTAAAAAAAAAAAAGATTTTATTTATTTGAGAGAGAAAGAATGAGACAGAGAGAGCATGAGAGGGGGAAGAGTCAGAGGGAGAAGCAGACTCCCCTCCGAGCAGGGAGTCTGATGCGGGACTCGATCGTAGGACTCCAGGATCATGACCTGACCTGAAGGCAGTCGCTTAACCAACTGAGCCACCCAGGTGCCCCTCTGCCGCCTCTTAAAAAGCCAGAAACTGATTCACTGAGAAATACTAGATTTATACTAAAAAGCAAACAATAAGTAAGGTTTAATAATAATCATTTATGGACACTTCTGAGCATCTGTGAATAGAGTGAGATTCTGGCTGCGAGTTGTACTTCCTCCCAAAGAATGGGAATACCACACCTGAGTGACTCAAGGAGTGACCTCTCTTTGGTGTGGTCAGGATGCTTCTACCTCCCCTAACAGAAGTGTCAAAACTGACCTCATTATATTGCTCAAAAGTCTGCTCTTCTTTCTCTTTTCCCATCTTTGCGAATAGAACTCCTAGCCTCACATTTGGCCAACCCCCACTGGGGAGTTCTGCACAAATTCTACTACTTTAGGCCCCCACACAGACACAGCAGCCAATTTTCACCAATTCCTATCAGTTGTGTTCCCTGAATATCGTTCAAACATGCCCCAGTTCTAGTGCCCTCATTTACACCTTTGTCATTTCTTGTTTCCTAATGTCCTTGCCGCCTTCAGCTAACATGACTTCTTCTCCAATCTATTACACAGACACTAGAGGGAGAGCTCTAAAATGCATATCAGATTGTGCCATGTTCCTGCTTTGCCATGCCACGTAGCTGGTATCACAGAACACCCATGCACTGGTCATTGTTTTCATCCTGAAGTGCTTGCCTGCTCCCCTCTGAGGTGTCATATCCTGACATGGGCCTTATCCCTCACTCTTTTAATGTATGGTTTATCTTCCTAGGCACAGCCCGTCTTTCACCTTCCCACCTGACGCTCAGCAGTGCGCCTCTAGCTTTGGCTTCTTACATACCCCGCCGTGCCTATTATTGAGAATCTGCCTTTGTCCTTGTTGCTCTCAGCTACTGTGGAGAAAGATAACAAGAGTTCTGCCAGAATCAGTGCATCAGTTCTGAGTGAAACTCTGTTCCGAGGGGAGGGGATGGCCAAAACTTTCCAGAAGGGGTTCAGGGGTTCAGTTGCCTGAGCATCAGGATTGAGGGCATCTAGCACCAGAACCAAGGCCAACCATGACTCTTAGGGGCAAAGTTCCATCTCAGAGTTTTGTCTTATTTGCAGGGTTTTTTTTCCCCCCAAGAAAGCTATCTGAGGAGTACTGTAGAGGCAATTAAACTTATAGGAACAAAATTCCTTCCGTGGATTTAGAAAGAATGATTTCTATTTGCTAAATTATTTGCAATGGAGAAATAGTTTAGGATTTGAAAAAGCAGGAAAGCACAAGTTCCTGACTGATATCTTAGCCTATTGATAATCAGGCAACAGCTGAAATAAACTGGCTATCCTAATTTTAATGTTTTTCATGCTGAAATGCAATTGATTAATGAAAGGAAACAAGAACATTGCTTATGTTAAATAAAATAGACACATTTATCTTATTGAAATACTTTTTAATCATTATGGTTAAAAAAATACTCAGAATAAATGCATTTTAAGCAAATAAAGAATTGACATTAGTGTTATTTACCTTCATAATATGACTAAAATGTTTATAACTCACGTGTTGAGTCTGAAGTGTTTCGCTGCCAATTCCTTTGCAAGAACTTATTTTTGATTAGCTTTTTCCTGAAAATTATGACCATTAAATTTTCTTATGTTCATAGAAAATAAATACAAATATTAAAATAAAGCAGTGCTGTAAAATGTGTAAATAGACTTTCAAAAATAAAACTTGTATTTATATCTTTGTTATATTTTTTAAAATTATCATATATACAGTGCTTTTATGTTAGAAAGGCTTTCTTGGGCCTGGCCTCCGCTCGGCGGCCGCTAAAAGGCGCGCTGGCCACCGCCCTGCCGGCCCCTGGACGCTCTCCCGGCCAAGCGCTCTGAGCCCAGTGCCCAGCCATGGCGTGCCCCCTGGATCAGGCCATTGGCCTCCTCGTGGCCATCTTCCATAAATACTCGGGCAGGGAAGGTGACAAGAACACTCTGAGCAAGAAGGAGCTAAAGGAGCTGATCCAGAAAGAGCTCACCATTGGTGCGAAGCTACAGGATGCTGACATTGCAAAGCTGATGGACGACCTGGACCGGAACAAGGACCAGGTGGTGAACTTCCAGGAATATGTCACCTTCCTGGGAGCCTTGGCTTTGATCTACAATGATGCCCTCAAGGGCTGAAAATAAATCAGGAAGGTGGAGACACCCTCCATTGGGCCTGCCTAAGTCAGCTCCAGTGGTGGGTAACTGTTCAATAAATATCTTTTTTTGGTCAAAAAAAAAAAAAAAAAAAAGAAAGGCTTTCTTGGCTTTCAGTCATACCGTGTATGAATGAAGGAGGATGACTTAACTGGGAAAGTATCTGGAGTTCCAAACAGGTCATAGGGTCTATTTTTGTCAGAGAGGCATGGGAGGCCACAGAAGGGGATCACAGAATGGAGAGAGAAGATAATACCCATGAAGATCGAAATCCCAGAGAAGCCACACTAAAGAGATGCTCTCAAATATATGTAAATATATTATCTATATTTTCACTGAGTATCAAATAAATATTCACCAGATTAATAGTTAATAAAATGTCAAAGAGTAAGAGATTGGAAGGTCCAAGATTACATTTTTTTTAATGGGAAGAGAGAGAAAATATTTATGTTTAGGCCAATGTTGATTATCAAGCATATTGTGAACTTTTTCCATATCAAAATAATTGCCTCTCACTAAGAAAAGCTTTCATTGACACCCCATCTTGAGTAATAAACATATTGTAAAACCCATTCAACTGATTGATAGTTTTTGGCTTTTAGGAGAGTTTTCAATAAGATAAAGAGACTGAAGTGGAATGAAAGGAGACCATCTGTTTCAGTGTTGAATGTAATTTTCTCTTATTAATATAACAATTAGTAATTGATAATTATTCCAGATAAAAGCTGTGTTCATAAATATTTAAAACAAGGCAAGTGAGTGGGTTGGTTGGATAAGTTGGAGGGGATTTGGATCGATGAAACCAGAATTTAGTGGTTATATAGTTTGTGTTTCTTGTTAAATTTTGAGTGGTATTGAGATATAGAACAGCATTAAATTAATTTCCTTTTTTACTCTCGTTTTCATGCAATTTCCCACATTATACCTTTTGCTATAAAACATGCCATGTTCAATTAAGGTATGCTAGCATGTTGAAGTATTTTTCAACACCTCTGTAGAAATCTCATGAATGAGGTCAGCTCACGGGGTCAAACTAAAACATGCTAAATGCTTGTATGTAATTTTTTAGCTTGAGACAGGCTCAGAGGCATTTATTTGACGAACTCCCAAGAATAATTGGTTCTCCAACAACCTTGACAGAACAGGCTTTTCAAGAATAAAATGGTCCTCTTTCATTCCTTTCCTGTAGCTCATTTTAAGTAGCATCTTACAACAATCCCAATTTTAAAGTTACTTCTCTTCACCCAATGAAGGTAACTTGTTTCTTTTGATCCCTTTGGTCCTTGGGTCTTTAAATTGCTTAGAGCTGTTCTCTCAAACAGTCACAGTTAATCGTGCACATTTGTTTTGCCTTATGCTTTTACTAGGTTGGAATTTACTAACTTCTTTGCATGATCCTGTTATACTGATACACTTAACATCTGCCATAAATGATTTATTAAGATTTAGTGAAAATTATATTTCAACGTATTTAAGGAGTAAACTTCACTGAAAACATAAATGGTTTACTCACATTTCAGTACTCTCCAAGCCTTTCTAATTTTAATTAAGATATCATTTGATTTCATTATTATTTTGGAGCCCCAAGTGGTCACAACTTATCTTTCCTTTTATGTAGCATTTTCCCCTTAAACACATTCAGAAAACTTCCATTTTATCCAGATAAGTATAGGCTTTTTTTTTTTTTAAGATTTTAATTTATTTATTTGACAGAGAGAATGAGAGAGAGGGAACACAAACAGAGGGAATGGGAGAGGGAGAAGCAGGCTTCCCGCCGAGCAGGGAGCCTGATGTGGGGCTCGATCCCAGGACCCTGGGATCATGACCTGAGCCGAAGGCAGATGCTTAACGACTGAACCACCCAGGCACCCCAAGTATAGGCCTTGGTTGCAATTTCTTTTTAGATCAGATGCATGTTTCAGGATATGGGAGATTTTGCGATATTTCAGAGTAATACAAAGACCTAGGCTAGGAATTTAACCCAACAGATGGAACACACACACACACACACACACAGTGGAATTTGATACTCATTTGTTTTTTTATATTGTTCACACCAAAGATTATTTTATTCAAATGGGTAAAATCACTTGGGTCACTGAAGCTAATGTAGTAAGTCTAGCCTTTTATGTTAAAGCATTAGCTTAATGGATTAATATGTCTCTTCTGAATAAACAGCCCTCTTGAGATTGTTTCAGCTTGTGAGTTCAATAAATTTACCATTCCCCAAAAACATTAGGCTTAAATAGAGTTCTACTCCCTTGGGACATTAGCCTCACCAACTCAAAATCAAACTTTTCAAGGACCACCCATTGCATTTCCTTGCCCATGCTTCCTTTCCTTCCTTGCTTGTGTTCTCACTTGTTTTGGGAGACTTTGCAGCAAAGGAGACTCCGTTGTATGGGTTAGATCTGTAGCAGTTTTAACTCTATAATTAGTGACTAGAGTATGCTGTATCCAAAGGCAAAAACACCATTTAACTTTGGGCAACTAAGTCTTTTGGAACCTGAATGACCTTATCCTTACTATAAGGGAAAGACTCATATGTTTTTGTGGGTAAATTGGTTAAAGGGAATATCTCCAGAGCTGCCATGGGGAGGTGGGTAATGGAAAAATGTCTTTTTTAGCTAAGGCAGTCAGTTGACCTGAATCCAGTAAATATTAGCTAGTGTTGTTACTATTATTGTTAACAAAATAAATTTGCAACGACTTTCCACTGCGTGGGTCTGGAGACCACAGGTTGCTGCTGCAAGGCAGAACACAGACAACACAGGATATAGGCTCATATTAGAAAGAAACCCCATCTTAGTAAGTAAGATGTCACAGGTTGGGTCTTTTTTTGAAGAGTGCGTTGAGCAAACATCCATAAACATCTTTCAGTAAGTGTTTGTTGTGCAAAGCATACTTTGACCAATCATTAATCAGAGACTGAGAATAATCTACAATAGTAAAAAACAAAAAACTGAACAAAACAACAAAAACAGTTACAATCTGGAGGTCCATGAGTGAAACTTCCCCTTAATGTGTTTTGCCTGACTGTCAGGATGATTTTAAAAATGAATTTGAAATTAAAGTGAAAACACAACTTTTCCAGATCTGTAGGCAGCTGCAAAGCAGTGCTTAGAGGGAAATTTATAGCATTGAATGCGTATGTTAGAATAGAAAAAAAGATCTAAAATTAATAATCTTAAGTTTCCACTTTAGAAAATTAGAAAAAGAAGAGCAAATTAAATCCAAAGTAAGCAAAAGAAGAGAAATAATAAGAATTATAGCAGAAATCAGTGAAACCAAAAACAGGAAATCAGTAGAGAAAATCAATGAAACCAAAAGCTGGTTCTTAGGAAAGATCAATAAAATCGATAAGCCTCTAGCCAGTCTAACCTTGAAAAAAAGAGGACACAAATTACTAATATCAGAAATGAAGGAGGGGACATCACTACAGATCCCAGGGTTGTTAGAAAGATAATAAAGGAATACTATGAACATCTCTATGTCTACAAATTTGATAATCTAGATGAAATGGACCATTTCTTTGGAAGACACCATATCAAATTCACACAAGAAAATAAGATGATCTGAATAGGCCTATATCTAATAAAGAAATTGAATCAATAGTTAATAACCTTCCAAATCAGAAAGCACCAGGCCCAGATGCATTCCCTGGTAAATTCTACCAAACATTTAAGGAAGAAATTATACCAATTCTCTACAATCTCTTTCAGAGGACAGAAGCAGAGGGAATACTTCCTAACTTACTCTATGAGGTGAGAATTACCCTAACCCCAACCAGACAAAAACATTACAAAAGAAGAAAACTACACAGCAGTATCTCTCATGAATATAGATGCAGAAATCCTCAACAAAATAATAGCAAATTGAATCCAACAATTGATAAAAAGTTTTATACCTCATGAACAAGTTGGATTTATCCCATTTATACAAGGCTGGTTTAACATTCAAAAACCAACTAATGTAATCCATTACCTCAACAGACTAAAGAAGAAAAATCACATCATATCAATAGGTGGGAAACAAAAAAGCATTTGACAAAATCCAAAACCCATTCGTGATAAACACTCTCAGTAAACTAGGAATAGAAGGAAACTTTCTCTGCTTGATAAAAACTCTACAAAAACTCTAGAGGTAACATCATAATTAATAGTGACAAACACAAAGCTTTCCCACTAAGATCAGGTGCAAGGCAAGGATGTCCCCCCTCTCTCCACTGCTTTTCAACATTGTCCTGTAAACCCTTGCTAATACAGTAAAGCAAGGGAATAAAAGGTGTACAGCCTGGGAAGGAAGACATAAAACTGTTTACAGATGGAATGATTGTCCGTGTTGAAAAAAAAAACTGATTTAGAAAATTCCTAAAACTAACAAGCAATTATAACAAGGTTGCAGGATACAAGGTTAATATATAAAAGTCAATTGCCTTCCTATACACCGACAATGAATAAATGGAATTTGAAATTTAAAGACTAATACCAATTACATTAGCACTCCAAAAATGAAATACTGAGGTATAAATCTAACAAAATGCACATGATATTTCTATGAGGGAAACTATCAAATGCTGATAAACAAAATTAACTAAATAAATGGAAAGATATTTTACATTCATGAATAAAAAATTGCATATTGTCAAGTTGTCTGTTCTTCTCAACTTGATCTGTATACTCGATGCAATAAATGTCCCAGCAAGGTATTTTATGGATATGGACAGACTGATTCTAAAGTTTATAGGGAGAGACAAAATATCCAGAATAGCCAACACAATATTGAAGTAGAAGAAAAAAGTTGGACTGATGCTGTCCAACTTTAAGACTTATATAAACGCAGTAACCAAGATAGCATGGCATTGGTGAAAGAATAGAAAAATAAATCAATGCAAGAAAATAGAGATCCCAGAAACAGACCACATAAATATAGTGAACTGATCTTTGACAAAGGAGCAAAGGTAATACTATGGAACAAAGATTGTCTCTTCAATATATGGTGCTAGAAGATCACGTGCAAATAATATCCATGTGCAAAAAAGTGAGTCTAGATACAGATCTTACACTG